ATCTATGAACAGTAAATTATTATACACCTTATGAAAGAGTGTTTTATCTCAAATCATTTGTTATCATTTTTGTTTGGTATGTGTTCACGCTTGGATGAACAGGAGGCATTGTTTGCGAGAGTGCAAAAATCGACTTGCGTCAAAGTTGCTTATGTGATGTTTAGATCAAACAATTAGGATTTGGGTATTAAATCGGTTTTTGCAGATCCAAATAACATCCCTAACAAAATTAATCATGCCACACATAATCAAATATTGCATATCAAATATCAACGAACATTTGTGCGCGCGTGTGTGTGTGTGTGTGTGGCTTTGCTTCTGTAAAAAGCATATGCAATGCATTTCATTTGATACATTCAATTCATTCTCTCACTTCGCTAATCCCAACATAATACATTCGTAGGCATCACTTTGGCGCAAGTCGATGTTTGCACTCTCGCAAACTATGCGCCCTGTTCATCCAAGCGTGAACATGAAAATGATACCAAATCATTTGGGATAAAACACTCTTTCATTAGATGTATAACAATTTAATATTCATAGATGATTTTTAAAATAATTAACAATTTTCTAGGTGTAAACTTTTTTTTGGCTCACCCGGTATATGGCACATACTTCAGTGCAGCTGAACAAGTTTGTTGACATGACTGCTTGCTAGGTGAGGGCTTCACTCAATGATCTTGTTTGTCATTTTGTTTTATTCCTCCAGATGTGTAATACAAACATACGATTGAAATAAATAAATTAACGTTTCCAATGTGAATTGCTTAATATACAGAAACATAATTAAACAACAATTCATTTGCAGAATGTAACTGAGCAACAATTGACAGTAAACTTAAAGTACATAAACATAATTTATAAGTCAATTGTACATAATATTCACTTATATTTTTAAACAAATGGAGGTTATTTTACTGGTACTCCCAGCTCCCCTCCCTCCCTGACACAAACACACACACACACACCCACGCACACGCATTCTCACATCAGGGCCTTTGTGGGGCACCTGATTGTGGGGGTATTTCTGTGCGTTCCAGATATACCTTGTGGTCCCCTACTAGTGGGGTATGTACAACCTGGCGATAACAACCCGGCGGTGTGCTTACGATGTTACCATAAAAAAGTGTGCAAGTTTTAGCACACGCTCACAAAAAGTCATTTATGGGGTACCACTTCTAATGCCCCGCAGGGCATAGGACACCGAATATACAGTCATTTGAAAGACTTTACTCTGTGGGGTCCTGAAAAAATACCCCACAAAGTAAAAATGCCTCACAAGGGGTATGTGAAGCGCACATAAAACCCCACAAGAATGCTGAGGTGAGAGCCACCACACACACACGCACGCACACACACACACACACACACACCCACACACACACACGCACACCCACATACACGCGCACACACATACACGTACGATACAGAGAGTACATGTACCGAGTATGGCAAACTCACAGGTATACCAGCAATATTAGTCCATGGGGCAAAAACCGAAAGGCCCCACCCCTTAGACACAATCTTAAATGATTCTGTTTGTTGGGACCCTTACTATGCTTATTCGCCCGAAGGTGAGACCACTAGGGTAATCACCGTAGTACCAGGGGGGGGGGGGCGTTTCACAAAACTTGTCATCAGTGACAAATGACAGTTTTTGTTATAAGCTACTGAAATCCTTGCTTCTGATTGGTTATCAGCAGATTTACCACTGATTTTGTCATTTGCTATTGAAAAAAGGCTTTGTAAAACGGGTCCCGGATCGAGAAAAAATTTCACATATTTATATATTGGCAAATCAAAAACACATCGTGAGCACGTCAATTTATGTATTTAACGCTTCTCACCTAAAAACAACCAAAATGCAAGTCTTACAAGTGGCTGTTGCTATAGCAATACTGAACAACTAGGTGAGAATGATATATTTGTAAACTAAGCAAAAAGAAACTAATTAAACAAAAATTGATTGCATAATTTTAAATAATAATTTTCTGTTTGCTACGACCAACGGCTATCATAATCTGTCTGTTTGCCATAAAGTCGGTGATGAACGTGAACAATGGTCTGTCTGAAAAATCAGTCCCCTTCGCTGGATAGACCTGGGGTGTTTCACAAAGATCCTAAGTCGAACTTAACTCTAAGTTGGACTTAAACATTATGGAGAGCCATTTGTAGTCTTAAAATAAAATATATTCAAAAGCAATAATTCAAGTATTTTAGACTTTTCATAAATTCCAGATCAAGAACATGAAATCTCCTTAATATTAGAAAATATGAATGAATTTAAGCAACATTTCATGCCTTTTAAAACATTGTACTTCTCTCTATTTTGTTTAATCTCTCTCTCTCTCTCTCTTACTCTTCTCGTTCTTTCTCAACCATCTAATTTGTTTCTTATTCACTATCATTCTCTTTATCATAACAACTCTTATATTCATTCGCTGCATCAGCTTCTTCAACATCACAATACATACATACATACATATTGGTATTTAATGAGCGCCTTTACATGAACATGCTCAAGGCGCTTTACATTTTAAAATACAAACATAATAGTTATATACTCTCCAAGTGCATGACAATTACAAAGAAAACAAATGAGTTTTTAAATGGTTCTTAAATAATGCGACTGAGGTGCAAGAACGAATGCTTAAAGGGAGACTATTCCACATAGTGGGACCAGAAAAAATTATATTTCTATTATATCTCTTCTTCTTCTTGTTAATCTTCGTTCTCCCTCTCTCTCTCTCTCTCTCTCTCCCTTCTCTCTCTTTCTCTCTCTCTCTCTCCCCCCCTCTCTCTCTTCCTATCAAAGTTTGAAAAGGAAATGTAAACATGTATACCACTAATTTGCAGACCTGAAATAGAAAGTTGTGCCCATACAATCAGAAGATGATAGATATCAATTTTTTTGTTTCGATGACATAATAGACAGATTTATACATTACAGCTGTTACAATTTTGCAGCGTGTTACTTATAGTGTAATACAATTAAGTATAAGGTAAAAAAAATAGCTTTTAATCAGATAATTGCGATTTACACATCTTTTAAAATTTATTACAATATGTAGTAAATCTTCCGCATGGAAATTGTTTTTGTTCTTGAACTGACATGGGCAATGAATCATTCCTTAATTCCTTTTCATTCCTTAAAAATATCTCACCTAGCTTTAACAACTTTGCCGAAATGACCCTAAATGAGTTTACTTTGCTCTAAAACATTGACTTTGAATATTCAGTGAGAAAAGAAAAAAAATTAGAAATTTAATTCGTCATGGGGACGAATTAGGTGGTCTGTTTTCAATTTTATGATCATTGAAAAGTCAAAAAGAAAAAAAAAGAAAAAAAAAATTGTTGGAGACTCCCGGACTCGAACCAGGGACCTCGAGGTCGAAAGTCAAGTGCGTTACCGATATAGCAAAACATTTCCCATAGCGATTACACGTAAACGGAAAATGGAATTCTCAAATCCCACATTGTAAGTGAAATATGAGCATGATCTTGGCATCTGATCGAAAAATAAAGGACTTATGATAGCTTATTGTCTCAGCTACAAGATACTCGATGCTCAGCGAAAACGAAGCTAAGACGACGGAGATATTGCTCGTGAAAGACGGGAATGTAGAATCCAGTTTTCAGAAAAAGCCATGTCCCATAGAGAATACACGCAAAATGTAAAAAATTGACATGCCTCCTTTAATCGCAAAAATACGCAATGATGCTTTCGTCAAAATGAAAATTCGTGGTGAATGCATCTGTAGGGAATTGTCTCAGGTAAAACATATCAAAATTTGGATGAAAATTGATCACTATTTACAGAGATACAATCAATTTTCCGTAAATATGATGACGTCATAATATGCAAATTGAAATTTTGAGTTCGGAGGCCATTATGATGACGTCATGAGTTAATTGAGGGTCAAATGAGACATGAAATCATATTTCCAATTCATACTCTATCAAAATATGAAAACAAAATTGGGTTCATCTTGCATCCTAAAGCGCTACAATGGATTTTGTATAGGCATGTTTTTGCCCATGTATGCTATGTATTACAAGAGCTCGCACGCACGGACATTATCTTTAAACGGACGCTCATTCCGTTATTAATGGGCAGAAAAAGGTGAACAAGGTATCAAAATGCTTGGAAAAATGTGACAAACATGATGACATAAAAAAATTGGCGATTTAAAGTTGCAAAATGCCATTACGCGCGAAAACGCGCGCGCATGTGCGTGCGCGAGTTTTTTTTGCGAAATGCTTAAAATGGCATGAAACGTATGCAAAACAAATTTGAGACGATTTTGAGCATTTTTTTGCGCGCGTGCTGACGCGCGGACGTACGCATGCGCGCGCGTTTTTTGACCTGAAATTGACCGGACGGATATTGACCTTAATCATGATAAATATGAATAAGAAATGCCTTTCCGTTATGAAGATATGATCATGAGTTGAAAGTACCAACAAAAACACAAAATGGCGCCTGGATGACGTCATGAAGATTTGATGACCTTGAAAATGTTACTGTCACGTCTCATGACAATGACTTATAACTGTGCCAAAATTGAACGAAATTGATTCATCTGATCTTGAGTTATCCTTTACACAAAAAAGTGGGGAGAAATAAATAAAAAATAAAGAAATAATAAGAAAGAAAATTCTGACGAAAACAATAGGTGATCTGTCGAAAACGACAGACCACCTAATGATGCATCTTCAATATCAATTTCCTGAATTTTTCAAAAATAAAAAAAAAAGTATCAAATATCATTCTGTCCGCCATCCCATTCCGCCATGCGACCTCACCTTGTGGTGAGTTGAAGAATGCCTTCAGGAGTTCCCTCTGATTCTTTGCAACTGATGTAGCTGAGTTGCGAGGTGCATGAGGTTGATTCACATCTAGCCAGTCCACATATAGTCCCTCCATGCTCCTGGGAGGACATTGTGGTTTTCAGCCTTATGGTCCGCCTCTTGTGCTGCAATGCCTGGATGCCTCTGCCTCAGTAGGTTGCGCAGAACCACTGCGCCTCAACCATATCATTCAAAGCGTTGGGCTTCTGCTCTAGAGTCCTGAGGAGACACCCGAGACACATTTTACACCATTCTCCTCCCCTTGAGAGTCTATATTTGAAAATCCTCTTCTCCCTGACCATCCCTCTTCTGCCGTATGGCTTCATTAGGTAGTTCCTGAAGGCGAAGGCTTTATCCCCCAGGATTAAGAAGGGGATGTCTTGGAGGTCATCAGGGCTTGCAGTCAGAGGGCTGGGTGTGGGGAGTCCTAGGGCTTCCTCTTCCAGGCCGTTGAAAAGCTCAGAGTCGCCAAATATCCGAGCATCAGACATATGCCCTTTTCCACCAAGCTCGATCCACACAAACTTGTAATCTGCATCCACCGGAGCCTGGAGTGGTATAAAAAAAAGACGCCCTTGTAATTGTAGTACAGGCTGCCAGTTCGGGGTAGCTTCTTGATAGCAAAGTGTTTGCCATCTAGAGCCCAATAGCGTGGGGATGTTCCATCTCTGATCAAACTGGGAAGCTACGGCTGTCCAGGCTTCAGGGATCACAGGTAGACTAAAAACCTAATCTTTGTACGCATCCACAATAATATTGCCTGGCACACTTCTGGAACCATCTCCGAGATGCTGGACACTCCACACCTGGGGGCATACGCAAGGAACCGAAAGTTGTCTCCAGTGACAAGGTGCCTCAGTGTCGCTGCCGGTTTCAGTCCAAGTGAGAGAGGTTTTATGAAACTGGTGCGTTCCCTTTGGATTGCTTGGGCCACCCTTTGCAAGACTTCATCAAAGAGCTGTGGTGTTAACCGTGTTTAGTTTTGGAACGCTACTGGATCTTCCAGTCTCGATTGGGTGTAGAACTGGCCAAGCTGGTGTCTCCTCTCCTCCATGAGCCATGGTCGCAACCAGAAGTCCCTGAATACAGCTCTCCTGGCCCTTTGTGGTTAGGACTGTGGCTGGTCTGACTGCTGCTCGTCTTCTTCCTCTGTTGCGATATTATAAGCATACAGTAGTACTGCAATATCAAGTTCTCATCATCTTCAATTCCTGCCATCATCAATGGTTGTGGGTTGTAGTGTTCAATCTGTAGAAGTTCAAGAAACAATGAAGTCCGCGTAAGTCATAAATAAATAAATAAGTCATAAATAAATGTACATAAATCCGTCGGCGTTCAATCGAGGCTCAAATCCTGATCACTCTCGACCCTTATCGTGAAAGACATCGCAACCACAATCGTATAATGTCGCAACAGAACGCATCGGAAGGTATCCTAACGTATATGCAAGTACCCGATCGTGATGATCGTGTAACATCGAGACCAAATCGTGGACTCAATCGGGACAATCCTATCAGGACGTTTATGATCGAATGTGAACGGGAGACTAGATCGTGTCACCTGAAATCGACTAATCGTGACCATATCGCATCAAAGCGCACCAAATCGTACTAGAACGTATCGACTCACATCACCTCGTATCCAAAGCTGGCAATTCAGACAAGTTCCAAGATCAGCTACGAATGGCCAATCGTGGGGTTCGTAACGGATCGCACGACAGTGGGCACGTAGCATATTAGTGAGATTTGGATCACGATTCTAATCTCATTTTTAGTTGCCAACGATAATCCTCGGGGGAAAATCTCTGCCAATACTCGCAGTCATTTTTTTTAACGCAATGTTTAGTGATATTCTGATCCTCATTCAAAAATCTATCTCTCTATAATGATCATGGCTTACCCTATCTTAAAACACGTTATGTATGCAGTTTGCATTCTGACTATTGAAATAAAATGTACTATCATTCGTAACAGGTGAATGATTTATTTTGTAACCAGGCACTAAGATTTGCGCATTAAATTTGATAACATTACAAAAATGGCCATTGGATGAAGAATCAAAAGTCCACAGGATTAGACGAAAGCTTGCCTACTAAATGTTAAGGTTAGTAGAAGCTTAGATCTGTGTGTGAATCCCACTATTGCACCCCTCCAATCTCAGGCTCAGGCATAGGGCCTCGCTAAGCCCCCCCCCCCCCTCCCCAGCTAGGCCCTCGCTTCCCCCATAGGCTTCCCCTATGGCTTCCACATAGACAATAAAAATAATAAGGCTTCCCCCGGGCGACGACTTAAAAAAAAACACCTAACATAAACATTTTAGTGCTGCATTTAGCTCAAAACAAGCCAAACTAGATGCGCTAGTCATAACTATTTATAATACGCACGCACACAAACTCTGAAGCGATAATTTATCAGATAATGGGATTTTATACAAACATTGCAAGTGCAAAGCTATGTTTACTTTAAAATAAATTACACCGCGAGAACATTGGGAAGCTTACCGTTAACGAAGGAGAACCCAGGTCGAAACTTGTCCATAATCATTGCACATACTGGTCAGTCCATAATCGTGCCGACTCAATTCTGATTTCAATCACACCGTACCAACTATATTCATAGATTCAAATATTCAAATGCAGCGCTAGGATGGCTAGGTTAGGTTTTAAAAAGTCGCAGCCGGGAGGCGTTATTTTTTTCTGCGGCACAGATCGGGGTTAGGTGCGTATTTAGCCTAAGTTTACGGTTAGGGTTAAATCAAGACCTTTTTTTTTTTAAAGCCCCAATCTGTGCCGCAGAAAAAAATGACGCCGGACGTCCTAATTTATGGATCCCGCCATCTTCGGCTGGCAGCAATTAGGGAGGGGAGGTCGCACATTGCGTTGGTGTGTTGGAGATTAAAGTTACATCGGCCAGATTCAGGAATATTTACTAGCTTCCCTGCAATCAGTAGTGAGTTCATTCAGTCGAGAATTACATGCCGGTCGTTATGACCAATCAGAGGGCTTGAATCTAGCTTGGTATGTGGTATAAGGTGATGATTGTCCCCGAAACGCTCACTTCCACGTCACCGTTTACTTTCAGAGAATATCAAAAGCATCGTCATGATGAATCGACTAAACTTAGTGACTGGTAGAAAATGCTCTTCGAAACGTTTTGTCATCACTTACTCAGTGATATTGGCATTCTTGGTGTTTGTTTACACGACTCAGAGTAAGTAACTGTTTCGAATTATTTTCATGATATATAGCCAATGTAATAGTATGAGACAGCCGTGCATGTTGTCAATTTTTGATAACATAACAGTTTAAATCAGCTGTGTTGCTATTTTAATCATAACATACAGCCAATAATTTATTGTATTTGTTACAGCAACTAGGAAAAGGCCTATGGAAAAGACATATAATAAAAATCAAATTATTATCATTATCCATATTAGCTGCATTGAAGAAGAGAGTTTTCATTGATAGATGAAGGTCTAAGCTAAATGTATGCACCCCCAAATCCCACTATATCTTGTGTCTATCGTATCTTTAAAATTATGTGAATTCGCTCTGGCTGCTGTTGTGTCCCGGGGGTCTCAGTCATAATTATAGAAACACTGAAAGCATGCGTGTCCACAGGTTTTCCAGACACCCCCAAAACGAGGATTTCTTCTGAAGCCAAAAATACACCCTATAAATGAGGATTTGGCGTGGTTTTTTTCCCGCCTAGTAGACAGAATCATGCCACAAAGGATTGAATCATCCTGCCATATAGAGGCAACAAGAGATGCATTTCTTATACAGCATCAGCACCAACCAACTAGACATTGCTTTGGTCAGCAAACAATTATATTAGACCTTGTGTTTACAAGCGAAGAGGACATGCTGCCATACATTGAACAAAACAGCAGAAATAGGCAAAAGACTATATGACAGTATGACAGAGAAACTAAGCAAAAATGACTGGAAAGGCGAATCCTTCAAAACTATGGACAATGCTCTTCTTTAGAGATAAGGTGCTAGAGGTTTCAGACAGATACACTCCAACAAAGACATCAGAAAAGGTCAATGTATGGATGAACTCTGCCACATTGGAAAATGTCATAAAGAAGCATCAGCTTTACAGAAGATGGCGACGGACTAAGACAGAAGAGGACCGTAAAATGTACACCCGAGCAAGCAACCAAGTTAAATGGATGTGCAAGAAGGTAGTGCGAGGATTGGAGAAAGATATAGCATCTGCAGTCAAGGAAAATCCCAAAGCCTTCTGGTCACACGTTAAGAGTAAAACCACCACTCGAGAAAGTATCGCCAGTCTATTAAGTCGGATGCAACCACTACTGAAACGGACATAGAAAAAGCCCAAGTACTGCAAGACTTCTTTATAAGTGTGTTCACCCGCGAAGTTTTACAGAATATGCCGACTGCTCCTGAAATTGACTTTGAATCAGCATTAACAAACTTTGCTGTCGTACCATCACATGTGTTTGAGTTGCTAAGGAATCTGAAACCAAATAATTATCAAGGTCATGATGGATTACATCCACGTTTACTGCAAAGGTTGGCATGCGTTCTTGACGTGCCACTTTCACTCCCGTTCAAAATGAGAGAATTACCCTTGGACTGGAAATCAGCTAATGTTACGCCCATTTTCAAAAAAAGGAAACAAGCAAGAAAGCAGAAACTATAGACCAGTCAATCTCACATGTGTTGTTTGCAAGATATTTGAGTGCATGGTGAGAAAGCACATCATCAAACACCTGTCAACAAATAAGATGTTGTCTGGACACCAACTGGTCATTACTGGTCGTTCCTGTACCACTTCTCTGTTGGAAGTACTCAACGACTGGACACATATCTTAGAAGAGGGGGGTAACATTGATGCAATACACATGGACTTTATGAAAGCTTTTGATTCAGTACCCCGTTATCGATTACTGCAAAAAGTTGAAGCCTTTGGCATCCATGTTCAGACCTAGGGATGGATCAAAGCATTGTTAGTTGGAATGACACAGCGTGTAGTAGTGAAGGGTCAACGGTCCGAATGGTCATCAGTGCTGAGTGGAATTCCGCAAGGGAGTGTACTCGGGCCGCTCTTATCTATGACCTTCCTGCTGTCATGAACTGTTAGAACACGTATTAAATTTGTTAATCAAGTTGCTTAAAATTGTAATCAACCACAGATTACTACATGAATCACCTAAATGTTGGTTAAACTTTAACCAACGGCCTGTTCATTAAAACTGAGACTGTGGTTGATTAATTTTTTAATCATTTATTGGTTTTAAAAAATTGCTCAGTGTTGGTAAAATGATGTTGATTAAACTGTAACCATTTGTTGATTAAAACTTTAACCTTTTGTTGGTTATTTATGCCTTGTTCGGGGCTGATTCACATGATGTTGGTTAAATTTACATGGGTCGTTGGTTAAAATTGTAACCACTGTAGGTTAACTCTGTTTTGATTCACACGATGTTGGTTAAACTTTAGTGGGTTGTTAATACATTTATAGCCACTGTTGGTTAAACTTACGGGGGTTTGGAGATGTTATCCTCGTGTTTGCAGGTACGAAATTGTTTTAATATGATTATCATCAATGCTAAGATTGTAAGGAAGAAGTGAAATAAGGTTCTTGATAATGATAATGATAACAACATTGATGAGGAAGAGTAATAATGATAAAAATAATATATTGGTAATAATATAAATGAAAATAATAATAATTTAAAAAAGTAAAACAATAAAAATGACAATAATAATATGAATGAAAAATAATTCTAATAAAACATTAGCTATAATAATAAAGATTCAGGTTATAATGATAATAATAATGATGATAGTAATAACCATAACGAAAAAAATAATGTTAACAACAATAATACTCAAAGGTACCATGATAAGTGTGAGTTTATATTGCGCAATTTATATACATCTATAAACTACGCATGAAACACGAACAAGAACCAGAAATAAAAGCAAAAGTTTAGTTTATACAGAAATTACGCAAAATTACAGAATATGTTTCTTTATGCAGCCTTAGGCTTGGTAGGCATGTCGGACACAATTGAAGTCTAAAAGATAATATGTGACTTAATTTACCTCCAATCCCAACCAAACTGTATTTGCTTTATTTTGTTTTATTCTCAATTAACAGTAAACGTTATTCAAGAGATTGAGGCTGTGTATTATGGAAAGCTGATTCCTTCGTACGCAAGTTATCTAGATAATCACAACCATAGGTAAGTATTAACTGCTTAAAAGGTAACTACATGTATTTACTATGACTGCGAGACAAATCAAGCACATTATCATGATCAGTGTGTCTTTCACGAAGAAAAAAAGCTGAAACCAGATTTTAAAGCATAAAGCATGAATTGTGTATTAAAGGCAGACTTTACTATTTCAGCCAGAAGGGATTAGACCACACAGCGAGCCAGCGAGGTCACTGTGACAGGTGGCTATCTCATTAACTCAGCTCTCATTTAACATAAGAAAAAGAGGATCATGCGGGACCAACAGGCACCGATTGGGGAAGTTTTCTATATAGAGGGAGCATGTAGTTACAAGTAGGACAGTGTGCCTTTAATGAATAATTTCCTTTTCATACATATATGAAAAGCTCTGCTTTCCTTCTTTTATTTAATGCATAATCTATTATTCATAATTTACGCATGATTGAATTAAAACAATGGAAAGTGGTGCTCCCCAAAATTTCATTTATACGCAAAAATTGCCAATTTTCTGGCATATACATCAATCGATTTGTACGCATGAGGTGTTACATCACAGACAACATTATGAATCTTTATGTGATATTTTCCTTTTTGTTTCAAGATAATTGCGTTCACTAGCTACCCTAAAAACTCACTCAAAGTTTGTTTCTTTCTGTGACACACTGTATAGTGGGGGCTGAATTAGGACTAAATAAGGGTTATTTGGTGCAGATTCTTCTAAAAGCACCAAATTTGGCCCAGAGGTAGATTATAGCATACTTTTACGATTTCTGCCGGACACCAAGAAGGGCGCCCTCTGGGTATGCCATATAAGGCATATCCAAAATGGCCGCCACCTGAGTTAAAGGTCAAGCGTAGTTCCAAAAGGAAAAGCGCTTGTATGATAATAGTTTATATATTTATGGGGTTTTGGGGGTCAGAGAATCTGATTATGATGTTCTTTCATCGATTTGAGGTCTCCTTGGGGCTGCCATACTGATCATATTGGTCAAATCCAAAATGGCCGCCATCTGATAGCTACAGGTCAAGTGTAGTTACGAATGGAAATTGGCTAGTATGATCAAAGTTGATATATTTATGGGGTTTTCTGGGTCAGAGAATCTGATTATGATATTCTTTCATCGATTTGAGATCTCCTCGGGTCATACTGGTAATATTGGTCAAATCGTTTTTTCATAAACATAATCGTGATCCAAGTCCCCACTAATCTGATCGTACAACCGGTATACATCACAACCTTCAGGCACGAACGGACTTCAGGGCCACAATCGACCCGTGCCACCGATTTTTTGCTATATAAATGTAATACATTATTATATTATTGGACCAATAATGTTCTCTTATATCACCTTTTTTCTTCAAGAATGCATTACGGGAGTAACAATGGAAGGACACTCAGTGAACTTATGTCCGACAAAGACGCTAGTCCGGAGTTT